TAGGGAGATTTTTGGTTATCACGGAAACGGGATGGGTACTGCTGCTGAGGAGGAAGAAGAGGAGGAGGAGAAAGATCAGGAGGAGGAGGCGCCAGCGATGTGACAGCATCCGATGTATACGTATGCCGTCAGATCGCAGATCGCAGGAGGAGGCGAAGGAAGTGGTGAGGTAGTGAGATAGTGAGGGAGTAAGGACGAAGAAGGACGAGGAGGAAGAAGAGGATGAGGATGAGGATGATGATGATGATGATTATGATGATGATGAGGATGATGAGGATGATGATGATGCTGATGATACTGATGATGATGATGATGATGATGATGATGATGATGATGATGATGATGATGATGATGATGATGATGATGATGATGATGATGATGATAAGGATGCGGTTGCTGCTGCTGCTGCTGCTGATGATGATGATGATGATGATGATGATGATGATGATGATGATGATGAGGAGGAGGAGGAGGAGGAGGAGGAGGAGGAGGAAGAGGCGGAGGAGGAGGTAGTGAGGAGGAGGAGGAGGCAGCGAGGAGGTAGCGAGGAGGAGGTAGCGAAGGAGGGAGGCCGGGAGGGCACGTGGACCAGGAGCGGCAGGAGCCGGGGCGGGGCGGCCCAAAACGCGACGGCCTCCAGCGCCCTCTGCCCGCAGCGCCCCAGCGGCCCCCCCCACGGCGGCCAGCGGCTCCCCGCCGTCGCGGAGGCCCCCCCCCCCGCGTCGGCGGCGGTCGCCGGCCGCCCGCGGCGGCTGCCTTCCCGCGGCCGGCGCGCTCGGACCCTCGGCGGCCTGTGGCGGGCCCACGGCGGCCTCTCGACGGCCCCTCGGCGGCCCGTGGCAGTGATCGGCGGTCCTCGGCGGCCTCGCGATGGCCTTTTGCCGTTCGGGGATCGCGGGTCGGGGGTCGAGGAGGGGAGGGGGTGGTGGCAGGTCCGAGGATCGACCGGGAAGGTCTTGCAGCGGGTGCCGCCGACGCTGAAGGGGGACGACGACCGCGACAGTGGCGTCGGCGGCGACGACGACGCTGACGTGGGGCAGAGGCCTCAGTGATGCTTCGTAGGGCCTCTTCGGAGCGCGCTCGTAGGCCTCTCTGGGGGGCAGGCTTGGGTATCTTGGGAGCATATTGGGTCCAAACAGTGCGGTCTAGAATATTAGGTGATGCGCACTATGTGGTGGAAGCTATGTAGTGCTACGTGGTGCAATGTATGTGGCGTGAGCTATATGTGTGCAGTATATGCAGTGCAATATACATATTCGGTGTGATCTATTTGATGTAAGCCGTGTGCTGCAAAGTATGTGGTGCAATTCGTGTGGTGTAAGCTATGTGGTTCAATCAATGTTAAGCAATGTTTGCGGTGCAAGCTATGTGGTGGAAGCTACGTGGTGCAATCTGCGTGGTGCAGTCCATTTGGTGGTGCAAGCTATGTGGTGCCATCTATGTGGTGGCGTAAGCTATGTGATGCAATATGTGTTCCCGAAGCAGTGCTTGCACTTGGAGTTTCTTATTTCTGTTCTAAAGTCTTGGGCCTGTCTGTCGGTCTGGCAGCTATGTAGCCGCCGTCGCCGCCCCGTCGCCGCTTCGTAGCCGCCCTGTCGCCGCCTCGTCGCTGCCCGCCGTCTGGGTCTGTCTGTCGGTCGCCGCGCTTGCTGCCGCCGTCGCCGCCCCGTAGATTGCGTAACGTATATGTCCCTTGCACAAGCGAAATTAGGATCTACCGCCCTCCCGGGTGTATCGGCATTCGCTTGGACAGTACGACATACATATGGTTCCGCCCCATCGTTTAATTAAAACACGAATTCATCGAAGCCAGCTAGGCCTCTTATCGCCTCTCTTCCCTTTCAAATAAAATAGTGCCCGTGCATTCGGCTACCACAAATCGCTGTTTTTCAAGAACCCATTGCAGCGATGTGACAAAGTCGACACGCGCTCGTCGTCGCGTGCGCATATCGACATCCTCGTCGACACCTTCATCACCCACGAGTGGATGCCATCATCGTCATCGGCGTGATCAGTATCGGCGCCGTCATTGGCCTTGTCGTCATTGTCGTTCTCGTCGCCAGCATCGCCACTATCATCATGTAATTTGCCGTTGTCGACGTCGCCATGATACCGGGCCCGCCCGAGCTACCGACTCGCGCGGAAGTGCCCGCGTGTCAGCGCGGCTTGTAAGACGCGCTGGGGAGTCCCCAGCCGTCAGCGCCACTGGGGCCGCGTCGGTTGCGCCAGACTAGCTGGTCGCTCTGCGCGTGGGGGCCTGCGCGCGCAAGCCCGGCTGCGGCGATGCGCCTGCCAGCGCCAGGCAGCCATCGCAGTCGCTGCCGCATGGGTTTTGCAACCAATTTGCGGGTGTGTGGGTGGTGTGATTGCGCAAGCAGTGGGGTTGAGAACGCACTAGTAAGCATTAGGTAATCGACCTTGCTAAAAGGGAGTGAGTATCTGCCCCCCCCCCGGGATTACCCGCCTCGTCCGGGGATGGGCAAGTTACGTACGATTTTGCCACATCGTTCGTTTTCAGTGCGAAAGCGTACAACCCCAGCGAGGCTGGGATCCCCCTCTCACCCCTGACAGATACACTTATGCGCGCGCGCTCGTCGATCCAAAGCCGTGCATCCATTTCCAAGAACCCTTTTGCAACAGGTGGGACAGAGTCTACACGCGCGCGGTGTCGCGCGCGCGCATGCCGACATCCTTCAAAAACCCAGTTCGCACGGGTTCCAATATCAAAATTTCCGAACACATATAATCAGCCAGAGGTTTTGCAGCATCAATTATGTAACATCGTCTGCGCGCGCGCTCTTGCGAATTCTCCAGCAAAGCGTTGGGCTCCCAGCATTTTCACCATCTGCGACCCAGCGGACCTCCCGCGCGTGAGTGTCGAACCCACTCGAACGCCAGTGCGCGCTTGCTCGAGGGGGGGTTGGGGTGAGGGTGGGGCGCGATCTCTGTCAAATGATACCATGCGGGCCGCTTTGATCCGTCGGCCGCGCGCGCATGTCGAAACCTCCCCGAAACCTTCCCTGCCGACACGGACGCCATCATCGTCATCGGCGTGATCCGCATCGGCACCGTCATTGGCCTTGCCGTCATTGTCGTCCTCGTCGCCAGCATCGCTACTATCTTCATCGTGGTTGCCTTTGCCGACGTCGCCATTATTCCGCGCCCGACCGAGTCATCGACTGGCACGCAAGTGCCCGCGCGTCAGCGTGGCCTGCGAGACGCGTTGGGAAGTGCCCGGCGGTCAGCGTCACGGCGGCCACGTCGGCCGCAACAGCTGGCTGGCCGCTTTTCGCGCGAGCCCTGCGCGCGCTAGCGCGGCCGCAGCGCTGCGCCAGCCAGCGCCGTCATCGCAATCGCCGCCGCATGGGTTTTGTAAACCAGTCTGCGGGTGGGTGGGTGGGATGATTGCGCGGGCAGTTGAGTTGTCAATTCCACGTTTTTAAACACCACTTGACCGCACAACATACATGGTACTACGTTGGGTTGCACCACGTAGTTTGCGCCACATGGATTGCACCCCTTAGACTGCGCAGCGTAGATTGCACACCTACATGTATACACACATAGCTATTTTTATCTCTCTCTGTATACATATAGATAGATAACACAACCGAAGTCGTCTTTTCTAACAGAGCATCAAGATCGACCCCCCTTCCACTGGGATTTTCAGCCCCCCCTGGGGATATGCAGTTTACGTGTGATTCTGCCCCATCGCTCGTATTCCATATTTCATAATGTCCGTTCTAGCCACGCCGGGTTCCCCCTCCTCATCCATGACACAGAACTCTATGCGAACACATTCGTTCATCACAAATCGTTGATTTCCCAAAAACCCCCTTGCAGAAACATGCGACACAGTCCACGCGCGCGCGGCGTTGCGCGCGTATGCCGACATTCTTTCAAATCTTGAGGTCCCGTAAGGGTTTCAAAATTGAAGTTCCCGACCACATATAGACAACCCGTGGTTTTGCACCGAAATCTTTCGAACGCCCTTGCGCGTGTGCTGGGGGGGGGCGCGATCCCTGATGCATAGCACCATGTACGCCACGTTCGCGCCTTTTTCGCTGACTCGCGGGCACCATCATCGCCGTCGGCGTGATCAGCCGTCTTCGGCCTTGCCGTCGTCATCGTCATCGTCACCGTCATGACCAGCATCGCTATTATCATCATCGTATCTGCCACTGTCGATGTCGCCATGGTGCCGCGCTAGCTCGAGGCACCGACTTGCACTGACGTGCCCGAGCGTCAGCGCGGCGTGCGTGGCGCGCTGGGAAGTGCCCAGTGGCCAGCGCCACCTCGGCCGCGTTGGTCGCGCCAGACTAGCTGGTCGTTGTGCGCGTGGGCCTGCGCGCGCAAGTGCGGGTGCGGCGATGCGCCAGCCAGCCCCAAGCAGCCATCGCAATCGCCGCCGAGCGTGTACACGAACATGGGAGGTGGTCGCGCACAGAGCAGGGCTTTTAATTGCACCACAAAGATTCCCCTTTCAAGAAGAATCTTAGGATTACCCCCCCCGGTTCAACCGTTCGCTTTTCCCGCATTGCATTTAACACATGATTCTGCTCCATCGTCAACCCTAACTACGAACTCGTATCATCCAGGCCAAACTGTCAAGGCTCCCCCCTCATCCTCTGCCACAGAAAATGCGCACGTTTTCGTTTATGCGCGAGCACAAGTTTTCAGTCATCCCTGGGAGAATGGGACGCAGTGCGCGCGTGCGCGTTGTCGCGCGCGCGTGCCGAAATTACCCAAAGGCCTCTTGAGGATTTCAAAACCGAGTGTCCCGAAAACATATGACAACGTATGGTATCGCAACGCGAATTTTCAAAACATCTTGCGTTCGGGCTATGGTCAATCAGTTTTTTGTTTGTTTCTGTTTTTCTCCAACATGCTTATAACTTGCTACCAGACTGGCCTCTCGCGCGCGCAGGTCGGACTCGCTCGAACGCTCTTGCGCGCGTGCTGTCGCAAGAATCCTTTGCAACATACTGGATGAAGTGCACGCGCGCGCGCGTCGTCGTGCACGCATGGGGAAATCCTTGGACAATTTTGGGATTCGTTGAAATTTCAAAATCGGGTGTCCCGAAACATGTTAAACAACGTGTGATTGTGCAATGCCGGTTTTCAGAAATTCTTGCGCTTGCACTCCTGCTATTTCTTTAGAGAACCGTCGGTGTTTGCACATTTTCAGTTAATTCGGCCAGACGGGCCCCTCGTGCCTCACGCCGAAATTTCGAGCGCCCTTGCGCGCGTGCTGGAGGGGGGGGCGCGATCCGTGTCGAATAAAACCGCGCCGACCACTCGCGCGCGTCGGCCGCGCGCGCATGTCGAACTCCATCCAAAACCTGCATCACCGACGCGACGGCGCCGTCATTGTCGGCGGCGTGACCAGCATCGGCGCCGGCACTGGCCTTGCCGTCGTCATTGTCATCATCGTCACCAGCATCGCTATCATCATCATCATCATCATCATCATCATCATCATCATCATCATCATCATTATCATCATCATCGGCATCGTGTCTACCGTCGTCGACGTTGCTATGCTACCGCGCCCGCCCACGCCGCCGACTCGCACTGAAGTGCCCATTGGGAAGTGCCCAGCGGTCAGCGCCACCGCGGCCGCGTCGGTAGCGCCAAACCACTATTTGGCCGCTGCGCGCGCGAGCGTGCGCGGGTTCACGCGGCCGCAGACATGCACGAGCCAAATCCAAGCACTCATCGCAATCGCCGCCGCATGGATTTGCAAGCCAAGTTGCGGGTGGGTGGGTGGGTGGGATGATGTATACATTTTTTAGATATGTATAACAACAACGCATATAGCACACCATAGGTTGCACCGCAAACAAGGTTTCCTTACACACCGATTGCACGACATCCATTGCTAGAAACATAATGTTTTGGGCTGGCGCTGGTTAAATCATGAACTACCGCATATCAGTACAACGCAAACCAGAGCAATTGGATTCCATGCCAACGCAAGAACCTTGCAAACCATTGCGAAACAATGTAAAGCAACGCGAATCAATGCAGGTCAATGCGACAGTGCACATTAATGCGGTGCAATGCGACGCAATGCAACAATGCGAAGCATTGCAGGCGATGCGTGGCATGCAAAGCAGTAATGCGATGCAGACCTTGCGATGCGAACGGGGGGGGCTGCAAACGGTGCGGCGTTGACGAGGCGGCGACGAGGGCGGTGACGGCGATAACAAGCCGGCTGAACCAACACCCATGCCCAAGCGATGGGCGACGACGAAGCGGCGACGGCGGTAATAAACCGCCGAACCGACACCCAGGCCCAGGCGACGGGCGGCGACGAGGCGTCGACAAGCGGCGACGGCGACAACAAGCCGGCCGAAACGACACCCAGGCCCAAGCAACGGGTGGTGACGAGGCGGCGACGGGAGCGGCGACGGCGACAATAAGCCGGCCGAGCCTACACAGGCCCAGGCGACAAGCGGCGACGAGGCGGCGATGGGGGCTGCGACGGCGACAACCAGCCAGCCGAACAGACACCCACGCCCAGCTCCTTTTCGACCATGTAAGGACCCACAGGTGCAATCATTGTTTTGTGAATTATGACAACTACGCCCCTCGCTCCCCCTGACCCCGTCCGCGAGATAGCCGGCCTTCTCCGCGCAGTTTTGGTTTTGCACCGGTTTTCTATTGTGTCTCACCCACATCTTAAGTGGGAGCTCGTTTACTCTGGACACCCCGCGCAGTCCTCTTCCCACCCTCTCCTCCTGTTTTCTCTTCACATCTATCGCCGTCGCCCTCGCCATCGCCATCATCATCGCCACTAATATCATCGAAGTCCATTTCCAGTTCCGACCGACTGACTTGGGAGAAAGTTTCAGGCGGGAGCCCACTCTCTATGGGGCCACATTTCATGTTACTAATCCGAGTTGGCCAACGGCAGCCCCTTTAATCAGCACAGGCTTTGTGATCATCAAGTCGCCGGAGCTCCATTCCGAGTCCTGACTGTGATTTGATTCGAAGGAAGTCTCAGGCGGGAGCCCCCTCCATGTGCGCTCCCCGCTTCATGTTACCAATCCGAGGCGGCCATCGGCAAACCTTGTTATGCAAAGAGGAAGTCTCAGGCGGGAGCCCCCTCTCTATAGACCCCCCGCTTCATGTGATTAACCCAAGGCATTCATCGGCAAGCCCTGTGAAAACAAAGGTTTCGTTATCATCGAGTCGCCCAAGTTCCACTTTCATCGCTGATTTCGAGTGCCTGGAGCCAGCTGATGGCCACTTCGTGTTCTTCGAACCCCCAGAACTAGATGTCCAGGCCTGATTTGAGTGTCTGGAGCCAGATGTAAGCAATTGTGGGCTCTTGGCGCTACCAGAAGTATATTCTTGGAACTTGATGGTCCGGAACCATCTGTCCACTTCGGGCTATTCGTGCTCCCAGGACTCAGTTCCAGGTATAGATCTTGCGCTCGCATCGTGGCATCCCTGGCATCACTGGCATCACTGATGTCTCTGGTATCCCTGGCATCCTTGGCATTCTGGCATCCCTGGCATCCAGGCACAGGTCCCGCAGTTCTGACAGTCTCACAGGTCCCATGAGCCCCTCAAGTCGCACCCCACAGGTAGCACAGGTCGTACAATTCCCACAAGACTCACAAATCCCATACGCTCCACAGGTGGTACGGATCCCACTGCTCCCACAGGTCGCACAAGTCCCACATGTCCCACAGGTCCCAGAGGTCGTACGGGTCCCATATGTTCCACCAGGCCCATCGGTCCCGCATATTCCATAGGCCGCACAGGTTGCAGAGGCATCCTGGGATCTTGCGATGATGTCATCCTGGCTTCCTGGCCGCCTGGCATCCTGGTACCCTGGCATCCTGGCAGTCCTGGCATCCTGGCATCCTGGCGTCCGGGCTTCCTAGCGTCCTAACACCTTGGCATCCTGTCATCCTGGCAGCATCTCCGTCGTTAGTGCCGACTGTCACGCACATGTACACCATCAGCTCAGCGGGACGGGATGGGAGGGAGGGGGTTGATGTCGGATGTGGCGCGAGCGCGTCTAGCTTGCCCCCTGTCCCTCTCGCCCCCCCCTCCGCCCAGCCCGCCTCCGCCCCCCTTTCCCCCTGCTCTTAGACTGGTGTCGAGAAAGCTGGGGGCGTTCTCTAGTTTCCAGCGTTTCGGTTTTCGGCCAACCGCAACGGAAAGCAACGGAAGAGGCCGAGCCGGAGCGACGAAGTCGGTACAGACTGGAACGGAACCAACGAGAATTCCCCAGAGGGAAACACAGCGCACCCCCAGGCGAAAACAGCACGCCGAGCTTGCACACGAGAACAGGCGCCTCCAGCATTTTACGCATCGTCCAGGTGCCCCCCCCGCCCCTCGCGCCTGCAGCGTGCCCCCTGGGCAGGTCCGCGCCGCTGGCGCGCTCGGCCTCCACGCCTGCAGTGCGGCGAGCCCCCGGGGGGTGGGCTGATGTGCAGGAGCAGGGGCGCGAGCGGGAGCAGCAGGAGGAGGAGGAGGAGGAGGAGGAGGAGGAGGAGGAGGAGGAGGAGTTGTTGCGGGATGTCTGGGCCTCTGAAATCGAGTTGGTCGTTTGGGAGTCGTTTGGGAGCCTCTGGAATCGTCGTCGTCGTCGGGGGAGGAGGAGCAGGTCGAGGCCGAGGAGGAGGAGGAGGAGGTCGAGGAGGAGGAGGAGGAGGACCAGCGTAAACCCAAGGCGCATCCGCGATTTTGTAGTAGACCCGCCCTCTAAGTTTCTTTTAGTGTGTCCATCCAAGAATATGTTTTCATTGTGAGAAGTGCCCCGTTGGAAGTCAACCGTTCCAGACTCCCTAATCGCGCCCAAACACAAATCCTGGAACGTCTTGGCAATCCTTGCGTCTTGGGTCTTGCGTCTTGGCAATCCCAAATCATGACGGAACACCGTTCCTGGGAGTTCATCACAGCGATTCCACGTGATTGTTGCACCTTGAGAACTTTGAATCGTGTCTGAACATCATGCCTGGGAATTTAACCGTACATGTCCTTTAAACTGTCGCGAACTTCTAAGACAAAAATGCGCGGCGTGAAGGTGAGAGCCACATTTAGAAGATGGATCCGCCCTCCGTCCTTGACGCAGCTGCACATTTTCAAGGTCAAATGTGCGCGGCCTTGGGGCGATAGCCACAGTTTGAAAAACAACTGGCGTCTATCCTTGAAGCTGCTGCGAACTGTCAAGACGAATGAGGGGGGCGCTAAGCTGAGAGCCACATTTTGAAACGGAACCGCCCTAGCCGTTGATTTGTTGTAAGACGAATGTGCGCCGCTCTAAGGCGAGTCACATTTTGAAACAACCCACCCTCCGTCCTTGAAGCTGTCGCAGCTCTTTAAGACGAATGTGCGCCGCTCTACGGCGAGAGCCACATTTTGAAAAGGACTCGCCCTTCATCCTTGAAACCGTTTCACATCCGAAGCTTCAGGATCAGCAGTTGTGAGAAAATCTCAGGCGAAACGCCCGGCCCTACCGACACGTTTGGGGGTGCGACAGTGAGGAGTGGCTCATGAGGGAAAGGGTTGGAGGAGGAGGAGGAGGGAGGAGGAGGAGGACGAGGAGGAGGAGGATGCTGGGGAGGAGGAGGAGGAGGAGGAGGAGGAGGAGGAGGAGGAGAAGGAGAAGGAGGAAGAGGACCAGTGTAACTCCAAGAGTGATCAACGATGTTGGAATTAACCCTCCCTCCAAGCTCCCTCTTCATAGGCCCCTACAACGATTCATTCCCATTGAGAGAACTGCCTCGTTGGAAGACAACTGTTTGAAGATCCCGACGCATGCCAAAACATGGTTCTCGGGATTTCAACGCCACGTTTCATCTTCACTGCTGCGTTGTGACGATCTGGAATTGTGCCATAACGCCGTCTTTTGCTTATCAACGCCGCAAATCAACATAATTGCTGCGCCCGCATAACCTTGAATCCTTCCGAACCACCTCTTTTGGTGACCATGGGAATCCGTGAAACTCTTGCACATGTTTAAATCGAATGTGCGCGGCGCTAAGGCGAGAGCCACATTTTGAAAACAACCCGCCCTCAATCCGTGAAGCTCGTGCTAATGTTTAAAACGAGTGCGCGCTGCGCTAAGGCGAGAGCCACATTTTGAAAACCAGCCACCCTCAGTTCGCGAAATTCATGCAAATTTTGAAAACGAAAGCGCGCGGCGCTAATGCGAGAGCCACATTTTACAACGACCCGCCCTCCATAGGTGAAGCTGTTCACCTTTTAAGCTTCAGAATCATAGGTGAGGAAGTCTCCGGCGAAACGCCCAGCCCGTCCTAAAAAACTGGCCTCGGGGTGCGACGGGGAGGAGTTATCTATAAGGAGGCGAGGGGGAGGCAGGGGGGAGGCGGAGAGGGAGGAGGAGGGGGAGGAGGAGGAGGAGAAGGAGGAGGAGGAGGAGGAGGAGGAGCAGTAGCAGTCGGAGGAGTCGGAGGAGCAGGGGGATTAGGAGGAGGACGAGAAGGAAGATGATGATGATGAGGAGGAGGAGCAGGAAAAGGAGGAGGAGTCGGACAAGGACGAGAAGGAAAAGGAGAGGAGGGGTGACGATGCATATATATATTTATATATATATATATATATTCACACAGATATATGCACACATTTATTTATACATCTATAATATTCATAGAGAACGAGATACAGACAGGCAGAGAGAGAGAGAGAGAGAGAGAAAGAGAGAGAGACAGAGACGAGAGGGAGAGAGTGATAGACAGGGGCCGAGACAGCTACAGAGAGCGGGGGCAAGCAGCGGAGGACGGGAATGTGGGGGTACCAAGAAGCTGCCCCGCTCTCCTCTCGCGCTCGTGCACCCTCGTCGGCGGCAACGTGGTGGAGAGGCTCTGACATACTTTGGCATGGTTGCCGTGCCTGCAGAGTCGTCCTCGCTGAGTGGCGCCGAGAGAAAGGCAGAGATATATAGAGAGAGAGAGAAATACACACATACACACATATCTATATATATATATATGCATATATATATATATGTGTATGTATGTATGTACGTATGCACGTACGTACGTACGTACGTATGTCGTATGTATGTATGTATGCATGCATGTATGTATGCATGCATGCATGCATGCATGCATATATGTATGTAGATAGGTAGGTAGGTAGTTTGGTAGGTATGCATGTCCGTATGTATGTATGTATGTATGTATGTATGTATGTATGTATGTAGGTATGTATGTATACATGTATGTATGTATGTATGTATGTCTGCCTGTCTGTCTGTATGTATGTATGTATGTATGTATGTATGTATGTATGTATGTATGTACGTATGTATGTATGCATGCATGCATGCATGTATGTATGTATGTATGTATGTATGCATGTGTGTATGTATTAAGGTATTTCTGTCTGTCTGTCTGTCTGTCTGTCTGTCTGTCTGTCTGTCTGTCTGTCTGTCTGTCTGTATTATATATAGTGATAAGGAGAGAGAGAGAGAGAGAGAGAGGGGAGGGAAATAGAAAGAGAGAGAGAAAGAGAGAGAGAGAGAGAGAAAGAGACAGAGAGAAAGAGAGAGATAGAGTGATAACTACGATGAGGGGGAGAAAGAGAGAGCGGGAGAGGTGTGGAGGTATGGAGGTGTGGAGGTGGAGGTGGGGATCAATTGCCCAGACCCCGAACGACATGGGCCCCCCTGAGCCAAGAACGGGCCTCCCGAGTCTGAGACTCGAGAAGAGGTTCGCGCCCTTTTTGTGTTGTTGTTTCGTCTCTCCCTCTTCCCCCGTGACACCGGCCAACCCTGACAGCTGCGCCCAGCAGAGGCGTCGAGGGACCCCAGGAGGTCCCGGAGAAGGTCAAATCACGTCAAAACTTTCTGCCGCATCGTTCCTCCGCTTCCTCTTCCTCCTCCTCCTCCTGCTCAAGGTGGTTCTCGGGCCAGAACTCGGATCTCGAGCGACCTCCGGGACGGCTCCAAAGTCCCACCATGAGACACAGCTGATGGAAGCCGCTTCTGGCCCAAAAAGTCTGACGCCGCCGTCGCCCTCGTCGTCGTCGTCGTCGCCGCCGCCGCCGCCGCCGCCGTCGCCGTCGCCGCCGCCGCCGTCGCCGTCGCCGTCGCCGTCGTCGCCGTCGCCGTCATCCTCGTCGTCGCCGTCGCCGTCGCCGTCGCCGTCGTTGCCGTCGTCGCCGCCGCTACCTCCGCCGCCGCCGCCGTCGCCGTCGCCGCCGTCGTTGTCGCCGTCGCCGTCGCCGTCGCCGTCGTCGTCGTCGTCGTCGTCGTCGTCGCCGTCGTCGCCGCCACCGTCGTTGTCGCCGTCGCCGTCGTCGTCGCCGCCGCCGCCGTCGTCGTCGCAGTCGTCGCCGCCGCCGCCGCCGTGGCCGTCGCCGCCGCCGCTGCCGCCGCCGTCGCCCTCGTCGTCGCCGTCGTCGCCCGGCGGCGCCAGGCCCACGCCGCCGCCCGGGCGGACGCCGCCGCCCGGGCGCACGCTGCCCCTGGCGGCCCCGCCAGCCCCGGCGATCCCCGGCACCCCTTTGGGCTCTCCCGGGGGCGCGCCGCCAGCCCACCTCCACCTCGTGTTCCGTCGGGCCGGTCCCATCTTCAGGAGGAAGACTCAAAGATCGTCCAAAAATAGGAGCGCCCGGCGTCGGCTGGCCCACCGCCACCTCGTGTTCCGTCGGGCCGGTTCCCTCTCTACAGGAGGAAGATTCAGAGATGGTCAAGAAATAGTCCTGGGACGTTTTTTTCGGAGTATTTTTGGGGCATGTCTGGAGTATTTTCTGGACGTGTTTCATTTTTCGCCCCAAATCCCCCTGTAGGGGGGCATGCCCGACTTAAACCTCGTGGGCCTGGGCCTGGTTGACCCCAAAAGAGGGTCCAGTGAAAAGGGGGTGGTGCAATATAGATTTGGTGCAACAATAGATGTTTGAGGCAGTAGAAATGGGGCGTGCAATGCGTTCCGGTGCGCAAAGGTATTGCTGGATTTTCGCGTGCGATGCGTTAGTTGCAATACGATGCACGACAATTCTCTGGCTCAATACGTTTGCAATACGCTTGCCCTCAACCTATCGCGCCACCCCCTTTCAGCTGGACCCCTTCTTGGGTCGACCAAACTGGGGCTTCCTGGAGGTGCCCGGAGGTGTTCCTGCCTCGGGATGCGTTCCATCTGGGCCTTCCAGATGGGATCCGAGTAGATGGGGTAAACGAGAGTTCTATGGGTTATAAGAAGACCTGGAGCAGACTTGGGCAAAGCGCGACCCAATTAGGTGAGGCCAGCGTGGAATATCAAGTGGACAGGGCATCAGAGACAGGCAAAAAAAAGCAGGCCCAATGGTTGGAAGTAGGGAGGAAACCGAGCCGCAGCGCCAATGCATCGGCGCATCGGTGATGTGGCTCGACGTGGAGCTAGGTTTTTCCCACGCCGGCGTCGCGGAAGCATCGCCGATGCATCGCCGATGCATCGCCGCTGCAGTGGCGATGCTGCGCGGTCCTCCGATCCCACACGCTCGGATCCCAGAGGGGAGAGAGGCTCAAGGGGGAGGGGGAGGAGGAGGAGGAGGAGGAGGAGGAGGAGGAGGAGGAGGAGAGGAGGAGGACGAAGTGGAGGAGGAGGAGGAGGAGGGGAGGAGGAGGAGGAGGAGGAGGAGGAGGAGGAGGAGGAGGAGGATCGGATCCTACGCGCTCGGATCCCGCGATCCTACACGCTCCGATCCTACACGCTCTGTTCCAGCAGCCGCGCTTCGCCGAGTGCGCTCCTGGGGCGCTGAGATCGTCTCGGAAGGTCGCTGGTCGGACACCCGAGGTATGACCTCGGGGCTCAGGAGACGGGGGTCCATGCAAGCAGGAGTCAGTCAGAGCGTCAGATCTTGCAGCATCCCGCAGAGCCAGGGTCGCATGTGCCGGGGCTTGGGTGCAGGATCTTGCAGGATCCTGCAGGATCCTGCAGGGTCTTGCAGGATCCTGCAAAGCCTGCCTGGCCCAGGTCTGGACTGACCCAGGGCAGTAGGTCCCCCGATGACCCGAGAGAGGGCAGACCCAGGCACGCGGTCCGTTGCCGTCGCAGCATCCGCAACGCTCGACAAGCCGCGCACCAACAAAGGTCTCTCTTGCCTTGTGCCTGCGTGAAGCCATTATTTCGTGTAATTATCCGATTCTCCTTCCTCCTCCTCCTCCTCCTCCTCCTTCCCTCCTCCTCCCTCATCTCCTCCTCCTCCTCCTCCTCCTCCCCCTCCTCCTCCTCCTCCTCCTTCTCCTCCTCCTCCAGCCCCCTGGCTCTAACGATGATTCAGAAAGGGGGGGCGCACAGCGCGTCCTCGCCGCACAGGTTCGCTGCCGTTGCGATGGACCTTTCGTGATGTCGCCAGCAGGTGGCGCCAGCTGGACGCTCTGCAGTGCATTGGATTCACTTCGAAGTGGGCGATTGAAATTGAATGCAAGAGTTTTTTTTCTAGAATCGAACGCATGATGCTGTACTTCTGGCTGGCACTCAGGCTGTCTGCAGATGTGTAGAAAGCGTATTACGCTATCGACTTGATACGATGAAGACGATTGGCAGTGCTATGAGTCGTCGCTTTGGCTTTTCTGACAGACACATCAAGCAGACGTGGGTCCCTCCGCCGTCCTTGGCTGGACGGGGCTCTGCAGTGCAGGTGCAGAAGGGCGAACAGGACATGACGCATGGCATGTTCTGCTACCCACTGCAGCCGCGGACGCACCATCAGAACGTAGTACATCGTGAAGAGGAAGCGCCTTAAACCACTCACGCCCTACAGAAATGGTGGACTTTTTTGGGACGCTTGAGCCGCACTGAGGGCTTTCTAGATGAGGATGTGGAGCTCTCACATTGTTCCAATGCCGACGACCTCCACTGCACGATACCCTTTCAGATCGGCATGTCTGTCACGGAGATGGTCTCTACTTTGGCACGGCCCGACGATGTCTTCAGCGCGGCCTTGGCCACGGCGAGTATGGGAAATAATCGCGACAATCAGGTCACTAGCTTCCATCTTTGCGGCGGCTCCACGCATGCAGGCGATGGTTGCGACGTCAGGGTGCGGTGGCGGGGAAAGTTTGCGGGCGTGGCTCGCTACCTGGGTCCTGTGGTCTCGCCATGCCAGATTACTTTGTAGTGGTTGGAGCGCCCCATCACTGCCACGAGTTCGGTTCTTTTTGTCTGCCTAGGTGGAGTCTGGTCGCTGAGACCCCCCCCCCCGCAGATGGAAGCGACCATTTTCTCCTGACAGGTTCATAACGCGATGCTGTCGGTCTCATGAAGGGCTTCTCCTGAGCGAGCACCAGCGCAGGTGGTGTTTTCAAGGGCGCGCCGACAAGCCGTCGTACTTTCTGACGCATGCTCAGCTTTTGCATGCTGGCAGGTGGGCCCCTGCGATCGAGGCGCCTCTCGTGGCACCAGGCCTGGGCCCGACACCCTGAGAAAACACGCAAGCATGGGCAATGTTTCTCGTAGCTTCACTTCGAACCCGACGCCGCCGTGCCTTCTGCCCCTGGAGCGGTTTATCCCAAAGGCTCCCAGAGGCGCTCCAGCCTCAACGCTGCTGCTGCCGCTAGCCTTGGCCGCGGCAGCCTGCGCCTCGACCTTGCTTTTATCACACTGGGATCTCTTCGGAGGATGAAGATATGGGAGGGCATTCCTCGATACGGACTTCGCAGAAGATCGGGCTACTGCGTCCACGGTTAGGCCACCTGGGATGGCGGGCTGCACGGAGGCGCGCGGGGAGGGCCAGGAGGCGGAGCACGCACATGTCGATCCATACCCAGCACCGCACGTGCAAAGACGATGGGGTGGAGTGTGGGGCATGGTTTTACGAGTGATGGGCACTCACAGCACATCTAAGGCACCGTCTCCACATACGCATTTTGACGCACGTGATCACACCAACTCATACGTGCATCGTATGCTGTCGCACTTCCCCACCGCAGATCGCAAAAACTTGTCGTCTTCATATTGCGATGCTGAGGTGGCAATATGATCCTCGGGGCGCCTCTTCGATTTAACAGACTTTCGAGCCAACGGGTAACATATTCCCGCTCAGTGAGCGTGATTGCGCGAGCCACAGCGACCTTCACTTGCCTCCTTGCATCGAGCCTCTCAGAGGCTTTGGCTTGCCCAAGGGGTGCATGCGCCGTTAAAGAGTTGGCGCCTCGAGAGGCTACTGTGCCCGTTCCTCGGAGGTGCCGCGGGTTCCTCGGGTTCCCCGGATTCCTTGTCCTCGGTGCCTCCGATTCTCGCGTTGCCCGTTCTTCGGAGGTTCCCCGGGTTCCTCGGGTTCCCTTGGTTCCTCGGGTTTCCCGGCGTCCTCGGGTTCCCTGGGTCCCCAGGTTTCGTCGGGTTCGTTCCCCAATTATGCGAGGTTCCCTGGTTTCCTTGGTTCTTCCGGGTTCCCTAGGTTCCTCAGGTTCCCAGGGTTTCTCGGGGTCTTCGTTTTCCCCTGGGTCTTCGTTTTCCTTGAATTCCTCGGGTTCATTCCCCAATTCGGCTTGCTGAAGGCGACGCCGAGCAGCGCCAAGCAGTGCCGAGCGATGCCGAGCATTTCCAAGCAATGCCAGGAAGCGCGGAGCGAGGCCAAGCAATGCCAAGCGTTGCCAAGCAATGCCAAGCAATGCCGAGCACTGTGCCCATGGAATAGGATGGTGTTTCCTAATTGGGGTCGCGCCTGCAGCGGCGGCTATCAGATGGGCGGGGCCTCACTTTTTCCACTTTATGAGCATGGCTGTGCCCGAGGTCATCGAAAGGGGGGTGCGATGCTGGCCCGACAATGTTTCGCGCGCCGCGGGAGGTGTCCTGGGTGGCCTTACTTGCTTCGGGGCGCAGACATGGCCAATTCTTTCGGTGCATCGTCGCAGTTGTCCCTCGACGATGGTTTTGAGTGGTTGTTGCATCCGCGCGACCGCGTCGATGTCCAGCGGCGCCGTCTCGAAGTGACAGTTCGACTTCCCGCGTGCGAAGGTCATTTTGATGTCAAGACAGGCGCCCGGTGCTTTGATGGGGGTGGGCGTTTGAGGTGCGCAGTTTCTGTGGGACCTGCTGGCCGTTCTTCGATAGTTGGCAGGCGTGGCAGTGCGAATTTGATGACCGGGCGGAAGTTTCGCTGGCCCCCCGCCCCTTCGACGACGAAGCGACGGATTTTTCTTTCGCGAAGTACGCGGGGGGGGGGGGGGCGCAAGTTTTTGTTTTGGTTGTTTTTGTTCTAGTCTTAATACATCGGTTCAACAGATATACGTATGTGTATATATATATATATATATATACACATATATATGTCTATACATACAGATATGTTCATGTAGGTTTGTATATATATGTATATATATATATATAGATGTGTGTGTATATTTGTACATATAACGAATACAGTTTTAAGAATCGAGGGAAAGACGCCTGGGGCGGGGGCCCAGAGCGCACGGGCGCGGCAGCCATGGGAGTGACAGAGAGAGAGAGAGAGAGGGAGAGGGAGCGAGAGCGGGAAAGAGAGAGAGAGAGAGAGAGAGGGAGGGAGGGAGGGAGAGAGAGAGAGAGAGAGA